ATTTCCCCCCTCCTCGCTCCCTCCCTTCCCTCCCCTCACCCTGACCATTTCCCCCCTGCTCGGGTCATGACCCAACTGTGCAGCGCCTTGGGACGTCCTCCTGACGTGAAAGGCACTTTATAAATGGAATCTTGTTGTTGTTGTTGTTGTTGCTTGTGGGACGCAGCTGTGCGCAATTGGCTGCCGCGTTCGCCCACAAATGTACAGTCAATTCACTTTACAGTGTGTTCTGTGAAGCGCTTTGGGACGTCCTCTCGACGTGAAAAGCGCTATATCAAATGCAAGGATTATTATTATTATAATATACAGTCAATTCACTTTACAGTTTATACTGTGAAGCGCTTTGAGACGTCTCGAAGATGTGATAAGGCGCTGGATCAAATGCGAGGATCATTATTATATTTTGTGGGTGAAACGTGACAGTTATTGACCTCATTGGACCACAAAGAGTTGTTGAGTGACCAAATTATTATTTTTTCTTTTATAGCTTTTAATAATATTCCTTTACATGCTAGCATTCTTTCATACCCACTTTAGTGAGGAAACATCAATCACTCTCTTCCTATCTCTCCCCCTCCCTTCCGTATTCCAGCTCAGACCTGTCCGAGTCACGTTTGAAGCTTCCCGCCCCCACCCACCACGGAACTTCTGACTCTCATGAGCCTTTTTTGCAGCACTAATTAGGAATATGTAGTTGTGGGTGGTAGGGAGTGGGAGGGGAAACACATTAAGGAATGAGAAAAGAGTTTGTAATAAAAAAATCTCGACAGGAAACCCGTCCCATTTTGTGCAGCGCTTTGCAATAATTTAAGACACAACTAGGCTGTATTAACCCCTCGAGCCCCTGCAAAGAACGAGGGCGAGGGTTGGGTCACTGCTTTCCCCCTCTCGCTTCCCTCAGGTTATTCTCATTCAGAGAAAGAGAATGGTCAAGGGGAATGTGGGTCCGTTAAAGACGGATATAGGTGCGAATCTAATGGAAAATAAGGAAATGGCTGACTTGTTAAATAAATACTTTGTATAGAAATACTTTATAAATGGAAACTTAGTGTTCACCCCATTGCAAGCAATCAGATGAACAAGCCTGAGCAAGCGCACAGCCACCTGTTTTAAGAGAGTGAGTCAATGAGGTTCAGAATTTCTTGAGAACTCAAAGGGGAATTAAAGTGAGGATGGTGCCTATTCCAGCCCTCAGCCTCCCTCGTACCTCTAAATAACATAATGATCCTTGCATTTGATACAGCGCCTTATCACGTCTTCAAGCCGTCTCACAACACTTCCCAGAATACATTGTAAAGTGTAGTGACTGTGTATTTTGTGGGCGAAACGTGGTCACCAATTGCGCACAGCAGTGTCCCACAAGCAAGTAGTAATCAGCGATGCAAAAACATACGCAAAATATACTTTGCATTGTGTTATTGTTTTAAAGACAAGCAATGAATGTTTCCAAAGTTTGGGTTTAGAGATAATTTGCCTCAGGTACTGTAAATATAATACATGATTTGATATTCAAGCAAGCACCAAGCAAATGATAACAGTCCTTGCATTTGGTACTGTGGAGTCTTTCACATCGGAAGGACATCTCAAAGCGCTACACAGGATTTACTGTGAAGTAAAGTGCAATGACTGTATTCATAGAACCGAATCTTCGAAGGATTATTTACTTTCAACAGATAGGAAAACAAGAATAATCAACACAATGTCACAGTATTGTTGTTCTTTGTCTTGTCTCTAATGTAAAAATGTTACAAACCACACAATCTCTCAGGTCCTTCAATATTTTTAATTCCCTAGTGTTCTTTTTTGGGGGGGAAAGAGTTGATGGGTGGTGGTGGGATTGGTGGACAGCCAGCTGACACATGCGGAAACCCATCACCATGTTTAAGAATATCCAAAACATTATCATTATAAAACAAACTGCATCCCACCTACACCTACCCATCACCGTTGCTTAAGAGAATCCAAATCAAACTGAGATTTCTATTCATCCCACCCACCTACACATGGAAATCCGAGAGATAAGATTGTCGGAATGGAATGCTCTCTCTCTCTCCCTGGAGGGACACATCCTGCTTACTTAATTCCGGAAAGCATTAGGTGCAGGTTAGCAAGAGCCAAGGCTTGAGGTGAGCCCAGAGTTTGCATTGGGAGTAATTGCTAGAGTCTATCCACTTAAAACCGCAAAGCTTGCCATTGATGTCGCCGTCTGGCAAGCTTTCCCACGGCTTGTCCAGCTAGGATCATTCTACCCATTAGAGCTTTGACTTGAAGGGTTAGTTAACGGGAGCTGAGTGGCATATTTCTCTGTTGACCTTGGCATCAGGAGCTCGATTCAATAGAAATTTTGCAAAAACTCAACTAAGAACTTCCCTTCGAAGTCTTGTGAAATCAAGCCATGAGCCTCGTTAAGATGAAACAGATAAGCACCCATTCCACGAATGTTTGTGGGACACTGCTGTGCGCAATTGGCTGTCACGTTTCGCCCACGAAATATACAGTTAATTCACCTTGCTGTGGACCTGCTTCGAGACATCTTGAAGACATGATAAAGCGCTGTATCAAATGAAAGGATTACTATCCCATTTAAAGACTTGTGTGTCCTCAATCCACTTAACTTTAGATATAATTAAGTCACTTACCATGCGAGACATACTGCAGTAAGCAAAGGATGAGTGAAATGATCATTTTCTTGACGGAGGTCCTCTTTTGGGGATACTTTTGCTTCTTTCCCATTCTTGTTGCGCTTGCTGTGTTGTGATAACCTGACCACCTTTCCTCACTCACATCAGCAGGTCGCGGAATAAAACATCCGCCCCCCAAAAAAAACTGCATCAAACGGCCAGGATTTGGAAGCTCATGCAGTCTCCCTCTCGCTCACTTTCTCTGTGCCTCTCACTCGCTGTAATGAGGCTGAACAATTAGCCGATTGCATTTCACGGTTGCCTTTAATTATTGATGCGAGGTGATGTGTTGGGTAACGGGGTCAGGATCACATATCCTCCTCAAAGGAATGTCAGGCTGACAACGACGAACGTGGACAGCAATGAATGGCCCACAGACCAACTTTGTCACGAGGGAGGTTGTTGGCCAGGACACCAGGAGAGAGAAACTCCCTTCCCTTTTCAAATAGCAGCGAGAAATCTTTTACATCCACCTCTGTTTACCCAGCGATAAGTAGGAATCCAATTATTAGTCGATTGGCAGATTGCTTTCCGGAGGTGATGATTTCATTCCAGACTCTCACGGTCAAGAGAGGGATGTTCTGTCACATGTTCTGTCACAGTATAATAATAATAATCCTTCCATTTAATACACCCCTTATCATATCGTTGAGACATCTCAAAGAGCTTCTTCACAGGATACACTGTAAAGTGAATTGACTGTATATTTGTGGGCAAAACACAGCAGCCAATTATGCACAACAGTGTCCCACAAATAGTCGTGGATTAAAGTGACTAAATTATTATTCTTATTTTATTTATTTTTTGAAGGAATATTGCCCCTGTAAAGTGATCCGCCACTGGACTGATATATAAATATAAGATATATAAATATATTGTGTCCAAACTAGAAATTCCACTCGGGTCCAGATTTACTGTATTTATACTGTTTCAGAGCCACCAAAAATTTAGCAAATTCTTAAACACAACTTTCATTTTTTTGGGGGGAACTTTCTTTTAGATCAGATCATTTGATTGGTTCGATGAAGAAGTGTCCCACAAACAGGACAACATCGACCCAGCAGTGAGTAGGAACTCGGTTGTTAGTCGATTGGCGGATCGCTTTTCCAGGGATAATAATTCCTTAAAAAAAATTGGTCACTTCAATCCATGGTTGTGACACCACTGAGTGCATTTGGCTATCATGATTCGCGCCCAAAATACACAGCCAATTCACTTTACAGTATATTCTGTGAAGCGCTTTGAGACGTCTCGAAGATGCGATAAGGTGCTATATCAAATGCAAGGACTATATATATACACACACACACTACAGAAGCTTCTTTGGCCCATTTGATCTCAGCCCTTCCAGGATACCTGCCTCGACACCTACCCATTTACAGCATCAAGCTGTTTAATAATAATGATAATAATTCTTGCATTTGACGTCTTCTGGACATCTCAAAGCGCTTCACAGAATATACTGTAAAGTGAATTGACTGTACATATGTGGGCGAAACCCACGGCAGCCAATTGCGCACAGCAATGTCCCACAAACAGTCGTGGATTGAAGTGACTAATTTTTTTTTTTTTTTTCTTGAGTATTATTATTTTCTTAAGAGTCCCAGCATCCTGACCTCAACCCCCCCAATCTACTCTGATAATATCGGGTCTTGGAAGCTTCAATGCTGAGAAACTAAGAGTTTTTTTTGGTCAACCGAGTGTATGACAGGTGCGGAAACCCATCACCATGTTTAAGCTTATCCAAACCAAGCTGAGATATCCACTTGGTGTATCTGTTCCAGGCCTCTCTGACAGGATCGTGGCGAGTCTGTATGCGGAAGATAGGGCTGTTGGAGGACTCACCTAGGGACCTTCTCTGAGACATCTTGAACAACATCAACAACAAATTACATCGCTTTTCACGTCAGGAGGACGTTTCCATGGCACTGGACAATCAGAGATCCGCACTCAAGCTGGTGGTTGGGATCAAGATGGTTGGAGGGCAGGGAGAGTAGGGGTATGAGTGTGACCGAAGGCCGGGTCGATGAGAACGGTCTTGAGATGGGTCTTGAAGGAGGCAAGGGAGGGGGCGAGGCAGAGGGAATGTGGGGTGGAGGTCCAGAGGGTGGGGGCAGAGAGGCTGAAGGCCCGACCCTTGATGGTAGGGCGAGCAAGGCGGAGGACGTGAAGCAGGCCGGAGGGAGTGGACAGGTTAGTGGGGGTAAGGAGGTCACACAGGTAGGGGGGAGCAAGGCTGTGGAGGGCTTTGAAGGTGAGGACCAGGATCTTGAACTATATCCTCTGAATGAAAGGTTCACAAGTAATAAGCAACAGTGATGTCATTTGGTATTTTACTCACATAATAATATGTACAATACATTTTGCTAAACATTTAGCAAACAATGTAAGTTTCACAGAAACCAACACATTTGCAAACCCACGGCATCCACATTGCGTTACAATTCCAGATCCTGGATAAAGTTGAAGTTATCTGCTGTACGGTTGGTTTGGACGTGGGATGAATCATTTCCCTTTCTAGTTTAAAGTGGCCTTCGAATATAGACGCAAAGTTTCTGGTTGAGCTCACACCCAATCGAACCGCAACCAGGCCTGTTAGCACTCGCTTTTGCTAAAGGATCTCTCTTTTTAGTCACACTGTGGACTTTTCTTTCGTCACGTAACAGAAAGGGAGATGGAGAAAAAAAATATAACTTTTCAACTTCCGAGCTTCTCCAGTCGATGGCTTCCATCCTTCATTGCAACAAAACTGTTTTAATTTGGGTTCCGTCATTGATAGCCTGAGCTGTGTATTGCTGTCAGTCTATGCTCCTCCACATAGAAATCCAGCCAAAAGAAATATCTTGTTTGCTTTATTTTGTGCCACTCAAAAGAAAAAGTCCTTGTCCCGGGGTAAAGGGTGCACAAAACACACTTGTAAGTTGTTGATGTGCACGGATTCCTTGCAATTGATCTGTAAGATCGGTGCTTTCGTTGTTGGGAAATTTCAGTGGATCTAGAATGTAATTATGTGGTTCCTTCCACTCCAGCTCAGGCAATTATTGACAATTCCCTGACTTTTACCCGTCATTTTCCTAGACTGTCTCACTGACAGTCGATGCTGCATCTTTCAGAGCTTCCTGGAATCAAAAGACACCAAATTTTATAGAATAATAATAATAACAATAATCCTTGCATTTGATACAGTGCCCTATCACATCTTTCAGACGTCTCAAAGCGCTTCACAGGATATACTGTAAAGTGAATTGGCTGTGTATTTTGTGGGTGAAACCCGGCAGCCAATTGCGCACAGCAGCGTCCCACAAACAGTCAAATTATTATTTTTTTTGGAGGCATTGTTACCCCCAGAAAGCAATCCACCAATCGACTAACAACTGGGTACCTACTTACTGTTAAGTAAACAGAGATGTGTGGAGTGGGTTATTGTCCGTCAGGACACCGGTACAGAGAGAAAATCCCTTCCCTTCTTTGAGTAAGATATTTAACATCCAACTGAACAAGGCACAGGTGAGACCTAAGTTTAACGTCTCATCCTAAGGACGGCACCTCCCACAACACAATCCTCCGCCACACGCACAGTAGCTTTGGCTTGTGGGCTTAAAGCCTTGACGCGGGGATTTGAACTCACAACCTTCTGACCCACCAGCAGACCAGTTGAGCCAGACTGCACTAGCCCTCAGGCCTTTTAAATGCTTTTAGAAGTTGCTTCAAAAAGCAAATAACCTCTGATTTCGAGGTTTGCGCACCCACACACACAACAAAAACTATTTAACAGTGGAGATTCATTAATATTGTACGTACCTCTCAGGGTGTGTCTAGTTTGGGTAATGCCTGGAAGGAGCCTGTCCCTTTAGACCATTCACTTTCTTGCTCATCAAGTCAAGTGGTGCATATGACCTCCAGTCCTGGAGAGACACAGTAATTAATTGTTCCATTGACTGCTGTGCTGTGTACTAAATCATTCAGCAATGAGAACATCCGAACAGGAGTAGGCCATTCAGCCCCTTGAGCCTGTTGCACCATCCTATTAGATCATGGCTGATCTGTAACTCAATGTCACTATCAAATATGGAGGTGGGTCTTTCTCACTGTTTTAAGAGTTAATAATAATAATAATCCTGGCATTTGGTACAGCAGCTTTTCTAATCTTCGCAACGCCTCAAAGCGCTTCACAGAATATACTGTAAAGTGTAGTGACTGTATTTTTGCGGGTGAAATGTGGCAGCCAATTGCATACGGCAGCGTCTCACAAACAACCGTGGATCGAGTGACCAATTTTTTTTTAATTTTGAAGGGATTATTACCCCCAGAAACCAATCCGCCAATCGACTAACAACCAGATTCCTATTTACTACGAGGTAAACATTACTACTAGGTAAACAGAGTCATTTTTTTAATAAAAATATGTTAACATATGTATTTGCTGAGCTTTTTTTTAAACCAAAGGGCCATCCTATTATAGCACAGTCCATGAACTCGGACCCTCCCTGTTACAGAGCTGCGGATTGTCAGGTTAACACAGGGGGCAGGAAGACATCTTCCTAATCCAGGACAACCTCTCCCTCCTCATACTTAATAACTCTTAGAAATGTCGTACACTAATATAAACCAGCGGCCAATTGCACACAGCAGTGTCTCACAAACCGTCGTGGATTGAGTGACCAAATTTTGAAAACATTTTTAAGGGAATATTACCTCCGGAAAAGTGATACACTGCTCCCAGATAGAGATAAATTATCACTAAAAGCCAGTGAGTGCGGCCTCTCTCGGTGACAGCAATAAAACGTTTTGGTTCCCTTCGCAGTTGAACGAAACCGAAGGCATTTCGATTTCAGGCGTTACAGTCAATGTACCTGGCGAAGGGTGATTCTCGCGCTCTCAGCCTGGGTCTGAAGGAAACACAGCACTTCTCTGTTGTTTTCCTCCTGAGCAAACTGGATGGCATTCCGACCATTCATATCCTTGGGAGTAAGAGCAGAAACAAGTTAGGCAGATGTTGGGGAGACCGCAAAGATACACAGGCAATCCACTTTGGAGTATATTCGGTGAAGCGCTTTGAGATAAATGTTTCAATGACATTTGAAGGCATTATATCAAATGCAAGGAATATTATTATTAGGGTGGGCTGTAGTGAGGGGACTACATAAGGTGCTTTGTAACCTCACTGGTCTGTGTCTCCGAGAAAGTAAGGGGACCCCTTGTGTTATGTAAATGTCAGTGCATTACATGGGAGTTAAGGAAGGGAAATTACACGCACCTACATACACACATACATGCACACACACACACAGACACACCAGGAACGAGGACTATTACTCTACCCCGGCGGAGGAAGAAGATAGAGACGGACCTGTTTGAGAAAGGAAGCTCCCATCCTCAGCAAGCATCTCATTCCATCCAGCAGCTGCTCTTTCCTCATCCGGAGGAACTTATCCAAATCGCGGTTACCTTTCGAGCATTCAGAGTCTTTGACTATGGCGCTGTGAGCCAATACGGCACAGTGTAAAGGGGTCAGATCTTTGGAGCAAAGACAAGAGACTTGGTTAAACCCTACGTTCCCATTCGATCCTCAGCGAAATTAAACGCGTTCCCCTAATAATAATAAGCCTTGCATTTGATATTGCGCCTTATCACGTCTTCGAGATGTCCTCTGAGACATATCAGGTGCAGGTTGGCAAGAGCCAAGGCTTGGGGGACCCCAGAGTGTACGTTGGGGTAACTGCTGGCGTTTAACCAGATAAAATCACTTAACTTGCCATTGATAGCAGAAGAAAGATTTGGGATCTTTTCCCTCCTTATCCACCTCTGCCCACCTATGAACTGGACTGAGGTGTCAGCCTAAACTATGGGGCTTGAACCCACAAACTTCTGAACCCAACAGAGCCAGGCTGACACCTTTTCACCCTCAACACACAATAACAATAATAATAATCCTTGCATTTAATATAGTGTCTTATCACATCGTTGAGACGTCTCAAAGCGCTTCACAGGATACACAGTAAAGTGGATTGACTGTGTATTGTGTGGGCGAAACGTGGCAGCCAATTGCACACAGCAGCGTCCCACAAACAGCCGCGGATTGAGTAAATTATTATTATTATTTTTAGCGATTATTGCCACTTAAAAAATATTTTCAATTGATATATTTTAACAAAAAATGTTAAAATGTCAACAGTAATAATTCTTGCACTTTGATGCAGCGCCTTATCACACCTTCGAGACATCTCAAAGTGCTTCACGGAGTAACTGTGAAGTGAATTGATTGCATATGAATCGACTTAAAACAAAATGAAGTGAATTGACTTCAAATAATTTTGGCTCTTGAAGTTTAATAATCCTTGCGTTTGATATCAGACCTTTTCAAGTCATTGCCAATGTTGACTGCTTTCCGAATTTGCACCTTTAATTATTAATCTGACAATTTTTGCCTCTAATCCCTGAAGCTAACGCAGAGTTACAATCATACTAATAAGGTTAAAGGGCAGCAACGCAGGGAAGTGGTGAGAAGTTAGAAGCTGTAATCGCAAGTTGGAGCAAAGGATATTTAAGCGAGGCGGCTATAACCTTATAGATGAGGCAGTGGAACAGACCAAACAACTCATTAAGAGATCTGTTTTAGAAAGGGGCCAACTGTTAGAAATGGGAAACAAGCCCAGGTCACGGGAATGAGATACAATCAGGAGGGGGGTATTATAATAATAATAATAATCCTTGCATTTTGATATAGCGCTTTTCATGTCGCGAGAACGTCCCAAAGCGCTTCACAGAACACACTGTAAAGTGAATTGACTGTATATTTGTGGGCGAACGCGGCAGCCAATTGCGCACAGCAATGTCCCACAAACAGTCGTCGATTGAAAATGACCAATTTATTATTGTTTTTGTTTTATTATGGGGATGATCAAGTGAGTAGATAAAGGTGGTTGTGCCTAGTACAGAAAACCTCCTTGAAATACGTGAGACAGGAAGAGAGTAGACAGTGCTGAGAGATTAGGAGGATTAACACATCACTGTTACAGATTCAGCGGCTAAAACTAGTGGATGACAGAAATAAAAGGTACGAAGTAGAAGAGTTACGCAGAAAGTCTTGAGACGAGGAGTAGTAAGGTGCATAAAGGAAGGAGGGTGGTGTTATTGCGTGTAATTATCATACATTTTGATTGCCTGCTGGATAAGACGGCATGCTGATGCGATAATATCATGTCAACGTCAAAGAGGAGACTGTTGCTGCTTATGTGTGAATAAAGATCTTCTCTTTGAATCATTGAGTAAACTGGTTCTCTGGCAAACCTTACACATTAACATTGGTTCCTGCTCAGTTTCCCTGTTGTATTAATATGGAGATGCACTTACAGTTATTGTCCGCAGCTTCGATGTCCACAACTGTTCCGTTCATCAGAGCATCTTCTATGACCTGCAAAATACCACATGTCAATGTTACAGCGCGGGACACATTCAAGCTATTTCGTAAGCGATAACTGCCATTTCTTGCTTCTCCCCCTCCCCTTCCAACACCACTCCCTACATCGCGACAGCCACTTTGTTTACTGGATCTCTCTTCCGAAATCCACTCCTTCCTTCCCCCTTCTCTCTATCTCTCTCTCTCCCTCTATCTCTCCAGCGCCCCCCCCTCTCTCCCATTCCCTCCCTCCCTCTCTCTCTCTCTCTCTGGATGATATATTTTGTGGGTGAAACACGGCAGCCAATTGCGCACAGCAGTGTCCCACAAATAGTCTGGGGTTGAAGTGACCAAATTATTATTATTAATTGTCCTGCACGATTAATCAGGAGCTGAGTGGGAAGAACCACCAGTTTACTCACCTCTAAGACTCGGAGGAAGCCGTTCTCTGCACACAGATGCACTGATGTTTTCCCCAGACAATCTCTCTCGTTAATCTGTGCTCCGAGAGACAGGAAATCTCCTACCATCAGGTGCTGGTTCCTCTCAGCAGCTAAATGCAACGCTGTCTGAAAAAACAGTTTCAACAAGTCACTAACGTAGTAACCAGGGCCTTAAAGTTCAGACAAACCGGTTATGCATTTTGCTTCACGGAGTGCGACTTAACCATACTGTTAATAATAATCCTTGCATTTCATACAGTGCCTTACTATGTTGTTGAGACGTCTCAAAGCGCTTCATAGAATACACTGTAAAGTGAATTGACTGTTACTGTATTTTGTGGGCGAAACGCGGCAGCCAATTGCGCACAGCAGCGTCCCTCAAACAGTCGTGGATTGGGTGACCCTATTATTATTATTAATTGCCTTGCATGATTCTTTTTTTAACAAGTCTTCTTAATGGACAGGTTTCTGCATCTCTCTCCGCTCCCCCACCCCCCACTCCTTCCCCACACACCCCTCCACCCCCACCCCACTGCCGTTATCAGAGGAGAATACGGAGAGGGAGATAAATAAATGGCAGTTATTTCTTCCAGTGACTTACTTGGCCTCTAATGTCTTTCACACCAATTTCACCCACAGATGCCATCTTTCTTGCTAAGCAGTAAGCCAGAGCTCTCTTGCATTGAATGACGGCTTTGTGTAACATTCTGTCAAAGGAAGCCAAGAGCACGCAATTAACAGAGCGATAAATAACAGCAACGTTTGATACAGACAGCGCCTTATCACCTTCGTGAGGACATCTCCGAAATGCTTCCCGGTGAAGGGGAGCGACCGAGTGTTTTTGTAGGCAAATGTGGCAGCCAATTTGCACACAACCTCATCCCACAAACAGCTCTGAAGCCAATGACCAATTTTGGCCAAGTCACCGAAGAGAGAGAAACTCCCTTCTCTGTGCACAGATCTTTAAGGTCCACTGTAACAAAAAAGGGGGACCTCAGCCGTTTGAAGGACGGCCCCTCTGACAATATAATCTTAGTGTTCGATTATACCGCCTTATCGCGTCATCGAGAAATCTCAAACGCTTCACAGACTACATTGCAAAGTGGGATTGACTGTGCGTTTTGTGGGAGAAAATATATGTTAGAATAATAACAAATTACATTTGTATTGCGCCTTTCATGTCAGGAGGATGTCCCGAGGCCCTTGGTTAAATATCATGTCTTCTGTTTATATTTTTCAGTGGTGCCTTGATGTGTTATCATAGAATCTTATAGCACAGAAGGAGGCCATTCGGCCCATCGTGCCTGTCGTTGAAAGAGCTACCAACTGATCCCACTCCCCTGCTCTTTCCCCATAGCCCCAGCAAATTTTTTCCTTTTCAAGACCCTATCCAATTCCTTTATGAGAGCTAATATCGACTCTGCTTCCACCCACCCTTTCAGGCAGTGTTTTCCAGACCATAACAACTCGCTGGGTAACAAAAATTCTCCTCGTCTGCTCTCCCCTCTGTTTTTTTGCCAATTATCTTAAATCTGTGTCCTCTGGTTACCAACCCCCCCACCCACCCGTCAGAGGAAACAGTTTTTCTCACCCTCAGCCTCCAAAGGCCGCTTCCCCACCCTTCTACTCCCAGCTCCACACACCCATCTCGGTTCTTAAACTCACGTGTTGCCGTTGGTGTCTGGGATGAGGATCTCGTGTATGGACATGTTGCTCAGGAAGCTCTCCTCCTGCTGCAGTTGGAACTGGAAGAAGGTCATGCCCGAACTCTCCACCAAATCTCCCTGTTGTGGGGAGCAGGAGGCCGCCTTTGTCGATCCAGCAGCTGGCGAGTAACTCTTGTAACACTCGCTGAAGGCAACGTGGAAACCAGGTGGGTTCTCGTCAGGCGACAGCAGTGAGGAAGAGGAGGAGTAAGAGGAGGTGGTGGAGGAGGAAGGGGACCCAGCGCTGTCCCAAGGGATAGCCAGTTGCCCAAAGGAATCTTCATCCGACTCACTCCAGTACCCTTCCCCCCCGAAGCCTGGAGACTGGACTGGCGAGACTTGCCCGGAGTCCGACTCACAGCTCGAAGGAGCTCCTTGGCGAGTCCTGCCGTGTTCCTCAGGCAGGGAGGAATGTAAGGTCCCCTGGTCACTTTGCCCCAGTGGGGAGGAGAGGCAGAGCGGGCGATCGCTGTAGATACCGTCCTGTGGCCGTCTATCGGCTGGGCTCAGTGGGGTCGGGAACGAGTGGTTTCTGGCCTGTTTCAAATCTGTCTCCAAAATCTCCACCAGGTCCTGCATTATCTCCTCAAAGTTCTTTTGAAGCAATTGACTGGATTCCTTCACCTGTGGGGTGGGAGTTGAGGGGGGGATTGGGGGGTGGAAGGAGGAGAGAGAGAGGTGGGGAAAGGAAGCTGTCATCTCACTTTGATTCAACGTTTTCTTTTTGAGTGCTTTCAGTCGCTAAGCCCCAAAACTCTGCAACTCTCTCCCTCAACTCGCTTCACATTGCCCCTTCCTTCTCAATCTGCAGGTCGCATCTGAAGACCGTCCTCTTCGTCCGCGCCTAGGGTCACCTCCCCCCCTTACCCCTCCCCACCCCGGCTCGACGTTGTGCTCTGGGACGCCCCCTTGCATGAGGTGGGGGCTGTGTAAGTGCAAGTCGTTATTGTTGTTGATTCAATGACAAAATTAACTTGCGTTGACATAGTACCATTCAGGTGGGATCACGTCTGGGAACATTTCACGGTGGTGGGGTTCAGTTGTCAAGCTGGGAGGAAGGGGGAGAAGGAGTGACTGTGAGCGCAGTCAGACAGCTTGTGTTTTTCTTTTAAAAAGGTGGGATTTGGGGATGATAATAATAGTAATCCTTGCGCTTGATATAGTGCCTTACAATACAATACAAAATGACATTGACACAACGCCCTTCACGTCGGGAGGACGTCCCAAAGAGTTGGACAGTCAGGGATATGGACCCGAGCTGGGGATCGGGCAGAGTGGAAGGAGAATAGGAGGGTTTTGAAACGCGCCTTGAAGGAGGCAAGGGGGGAAGCGAGGCAAAGGGATTGCGGGACGGAGTTCCATAGGGTGAGGGGCAGAAAGGCTGAAATGCCCCATCACGTGGTTAAGACATCGCAAAGTGTTTCAGAGGATATGCTATAAAGTGGACTGACTGTATATTTTGTGGGCGAAACGTGGCAGAAAATTGGGCAGATGGATTGAGAAGAGTGGAGGCGGATTGGAGCCACTGGGCTCAGGAAGCAGAAGCCGGGAGCATTTTGACTGGAGGCTCGGTCACTGATGGTGAAAGCCGAGGGGCTGAGACACACAGCTGGTCTGTGTTAGCTGTGAGGGCAGAGGAGTGGGCGGTATGAGCAGGTCGGAGAGAGATCAGAACTTACCCGAGATCTGCGTTTTATAGTGTACGGATGACTCTTAAGGCTCTCTTTTGACGCTCTCTTCCTCACTGTAATATAAATAATAATAATTATCATCCTTGCATTTGATACAGCGACTTATCACATCATCGAGATGTCTCAAAGCACTTCACAGGACACACTGTAAAGTGGTTTGACTGTGTATTTTTACATTTTAATATATTCAATTCTGTTTGTTGAAAGTGACAATTAAAATATTTAGAGACATTTGAATGTTAAATTCTCATATAAATGTATGTTAAGTGCAGTATAAAATTGATTAAGAAGGGTACTTATTATTATTAATAATAATCCTTGCATTTTGATCGCACCTTTCATGTCGAGAGGTTGTCTCAAAGCTTTTATTATGAAGTGTAGTGACTGCGTATTTTGCAGGCAAACACAGCAGGATCGATTGAGGGATTGATCGCCAAGACATCAGGAAAGATAAACTTTCTTCCTTTCTCTAAAGGTCCTGTGGGAGCTTTAACGTCCACCTGAACAGGCAGACGGGACCTTGGTTTAACATCTCATCCAGAGGACATCAGCTCCAACGATGCCCCACTCCCTCCAGCACTGCATTGGAGTGTCAGCCTGAGAGCGGAGCTCAAAGTCCCAAAGTGTGGGCTTGAAACCACAACCTTCTGACTGATTAATCAGCTGATGCAGTCAACTAACCCAGTTACCAACTAACCAGGGCTGATGCAATTCAAATATTTATTCCATAGAGTAAATATAAAAAGGATAATGCAAATATTTAGATATCAATGACTAGAAGCAGAGTAAATAGATATTTAAGAGTTGAATTAACATATTTCATGAATGCTGTTACCTTGACTCTGTTTCCAAGGCTTTGGGAACATTTCCCTCTGGAGAAAGAGTGGGTGGGGAGAAAATGGACATTTTTAAGAGCCGTGGTTTGAAAGGAAACATCTGAACCCCTCAACATTTATGCCTTGTTAATTTTGGTTGTAAAATTTCACAGAGATCTCCAATTGAGAAAATCCCCCCCCGCCTTAATTTATTTTCACGACCTTCTCCCCAGATAGAGACCGCAGCTGAGCCTGAACACGTGAATCTGATCTGAATGCTTACAATACAAATTAGAGCGCAACGGACATTTATGCAGCATGATTTCACGTCAAAGTCTTAAAGTTTAGTGATTGATTTACAACAAGGCATAGTTACTGTGTATTTTGTTGGCAAACACAGCGACAGATTTATGGACAGGCTGCCTGTGGAGATGGTGGAAGCAGAAAATATTGTTTCTTTCAAGAACAAATTAATTAGATTTCTGTTGGGCAATAATACTTGGGGTTTCAATATATAGTTTGGCGACACGACGTACAATACAAAATGTAATACAAAATTATGGACTGGATGGGCTTTGCTCTCCTTTGGTCTCGCTCATACTTGTGTTCTTTTTCGTGAGCACCACAAACAGCTATGAAGTGAATGAGCGAGCAAAGTGCTTTGAGACGGGAGGGGACCTCACGGCACATTTGTACAGTGCCTTTCGCATCGGGAGGACATCTCATCTCTAAAGGTGTGACACTGCGGACTGCGGGCTGGGTTTACCTGTGTTTTCGAGGGATTTTCCCCTTTGCCGTTGCGGTACGCACGGAGGAGATCTCTCACTGGCTGCCGTACCCTCACTCCCAGGTACTGTTTGCGTCTAACGGAATCTAAGTTACATACAAAAAATTATTTTAAAAACCAAACCAAACCGCGAAAATATTTTTTTTTGCCTTAAAAAAATTATATTAATTTCTCCGATTGAGAAGGTCCCTTCCTGATATTATTTTCACAACTTTTTCCTCAAATATTGTCTGCAACTGGTTAATTAATACGAATTAATATTTTTCATCTTTTTAAAAATAATATTTTTATTTTAATTCAAAAAATTAAATGACTTAACTTGTATTAGATTAATCATTTAAAAAAATAATACAATATTGTAGATATAAATTTAAGCAACCTCCACAGTTGACGAACTGAAATCCGACACAAGGATTTCAAAACAATATTAAAAACTATAATCCGTGACATTTAATTCAGTGTCTTATCAGGTAAATCAATGAATTAGAATTGTTTTTGTCTGAAAGATTAATCGTATCATTGCATTTGATATGATTCAGTGCCTTTATCGTGACAAAGGGGCATCTCAAAGTGCTTTCCCAGGGTTTTGCTGGAAAGTGTAGTGACTGCGTTTTTGTTGGTCGATGGGGAAGCGAACTATCGCACGGCACAGTCTGTACGAACAGTCATAATGTTACAGTGATCGACCAATTTTTCTTGTGCAAAAAGGAATAATTTGAGGTTTTCAATAATTGCTTCACTTCAGCGCACGGCCCGGGTGACTGAGGAACATGGAGAGGATATTTCAGCAAAGGATCAGGATGAAGAAACATGAAAGGAAAATTATTAGTTCATAATTGCTGTGACATGCAGAATTACTCAGACGGCATCATTTTTTGATCAAGAGACATCCGTACCAAATTGCACCACAAAATTTTACATGGTTTAAATCTAAGTGGAATTAATGTTGATCAGAATTTCACATCGGGTGCCATCTCGAAGCGCTTTCGCGAGATTTACTGTAAAGTGTAGTGACTGTGATTTGTGTCATGGTGGTGCATAAATTCAAATAACAATTGCTAATTTGTCCCAAGTTGAAAACCGTGACAGGTTCATTTTATTTCCTGAATACAATCTTGTCACTGAGACCTGCTCTATTCTTTGCTCATGTTATATCGTTATATCATTATTAAATAATAATAATAATATGGTCATTTTCAATCCACGACTGTTTGTGGGACACTGATGTGTGCAATTGGCTGCCGTTTTTGGCCTATAAAAATATACAGTCAATTTACTTTACAGTATATTCTATGAAGCGCTTTGAGATGTCTCGAAGATGTGATAAGGCAGTGTATCAAATGCAAGGATAATTATTATTATTGCATTAATTACAGTGCAAACAGCTGCAAATGATTTAACATTATTTCATTGCTTTTAATAATAATAATCATAATAATCCGTTCATTTGATATAGCGCCTTATCACGTCTTCGAAAATACTGTAAATGAATTGATTGTGTATTTTGTGGGCGAAACGTGGCAGCCAATTGCGATTTATATAATAATAATATTCATGCTTTTGATACAGTGCATTATCACGACATTGAGACGTCTCAAAGCGCTTCACACATATGCTGTAAAGTGCAGTGACTGTATATTTTGTGGGCAAAACGCAGCAACCAATTGCACTCAGCAGCGTCCCCACAAACAGTTGCGGATTGAATGACCAATTTTTGGGTATTACCCCCGGGGTATTACCCCCGGAAAGCGATCCGCCAATCGACCGTGTTCCTACTTACAGCTGGTAATTATTATGAATTATTATACATTATTATATAATTCATTTACCAGGCAAAATAAGTTGCAACTGATTTAAAAATGTGAAAAACTATCTTAAAAAATTGCTTTTTTTTTGCAAAGAAAAACGTGGAGAAGATTTTTTGGTCACAACACACAACACAAAAAAAATCTCCTTACCTAACAGCTCTTGACTCTCACTTCCCATTGGCGTCTCTGTCTCATCGATTTCTGTCTTGATCCCAACAGCTGTGTAATGATTAGCGTTTCCAGAACTCCGGAGAGAAGAGGGACTCAGTTGGGAGGATGCATAATTGTGCACTTGCCTGGGCAACGGAGACACATTCTTCTGTTGGAAAGAGTCATCTATGGCGCTGTCATTGCTGTTCTGGTCGTATAAGTTGTCTGGACTCAGGACTTTGTAGAGCATGTTGGTGGTGGGTTGTGGGTGCCTTGTAACATGCAACTGCAACCTTGATGTTAGACAAGATGTGGAAAAGTTCTGGCAACGTTGAAATGGATAAGATCCTTGCTCCTGAAATGGTCACAGATCTGGCCAACTTTTTGGACGGTCAATCGGTCAGTCGGTCAATCAATCAAATCAATCAATCAATTAATCAATCAATCAATCAATCAATACCCCCCATTTGCAGGAGTCCACAAGAGAGAGAGAGCTGTGGTTCAGACAACATCCAACATTGGCTGTGAAGTGTTACAGCCTTTCCCTTCCCTTAAAAAATGAATGTGGTCCAGAAAGGAGCTGAGAGCAGTCTGTAACTCAGTTCTCTTTGCTGCCTGTTGCTTGCGTCAGCTTCCTGGTGTGCAAGGATTGACACCCTTACTATATACCTGTCAAGCTGGAGCTCCTCCAACATTCTCTCACCTGTGTCACAGGTGCTCAAATGACGCATAATTATATTCCAATACCAAGAAAGTGTGTTCAGTGTATGTACACTCATTTTTCCAGCAGTAATTTTCAACACAATAAGATTTTTGTCTGGTTTGCACAATTTCAATTATTTTTTTCACCTCCTCGGTTCCCTCTTCTCCACGTTAACTTAGCTTAACTCTTTCATTTGATAGAGCGCCTTATCACATCGTCGAGAAGTCTCAAAACGCTTCACAGGGTATACTGTAAAGTGCATTGACTGTGTAGCATGTGGGCGAAACGCGGCAGCCAATTGTGCACAGCAGCGTCCCACAAACAGCCGTGGATTGAATGATCAATTATTTTTAAAAGGATTTATTACCCCCCAGAAGTGATCTGTCAATCAACTAACAACTGGGTTCCTACTAACTGCTTGGTAAACAGGCATGTAGAGTAAGGAAACTTTCCCAACTTTTCGCCCTGCTCGGAATTGAACCCAAGCCCCTTTTGAATGCAAGGCGAGCGTGCTAACCACTACACGACTCAAGTTGTTTTTCCTTTTGGGTGTGGGGCGGGGTGCAATTTAACAGGCTTGGCTGCTGGGTCAGGATGTTTGCGATTGACACAATGCAGGAGGGGCACTAAAGATGCCTCGCTGAGGCAAAAAAAAGAGAAGGGTGCTTCTCTCTCCTGGAATCCCAGTCAACAATTCACCAGGTAAAATTGGTGCATCTACAACAACAAGAACTTGCATTTGTGCAGCGCCTTTCAGGTTGTAAGGATGACCCAAGGCGCTAGACAGTTGAGGGTTGCACCCGAGATGGGGGTTGTTGGGTTTGAGAGGGATAGGGGGAAAGTGCAAAATGATGGTGGGAAGATGACCGAAGGCATGGTCAAAGAGGAAGGTCTTGAGATGGACCTTGAAGGAACCGAGGGAAGGAACCAGGTGAAGGGACCAGGGATGGAGTTCCAAAGGGTGGGGGCAGATAGGTTGAAGGGCTGACCGTTGATGGTGAGACGGGCAGCGCAGGAGACGTGAAGCAGGCCAGTGCCTGCCAAGCGAAGGGAGTGGATCAGTATTTAGGGTTTTAGAAGATCACAGAGGTAGGGGGGAGCAAGATCGTGGAGGGCTTTAAAAGTCAGGACTAGGATCTTGAACTCAATCCTCTGGGGATGGGGAGCCAGTGAAGCCGTGCGAGGGTGGGGGTAATCATCTCATGGTGCAGGAGAGGACACGAACTGCAGAATTCCGAATAATCTACAGTCGGTGGAGGGAAGAGTTGGGAAGGCTGGTGAGCAAGGAGTTAGCATTGTCAATCCTGGACAAGATTAAAAACCTGAGACAGGAGGTTGTGGTGGAGACGGGCCAATGTTGCAGTGGTTGGGGAAATTACTTTCACATAAAGCGCTCTGAGATCACAACTTTGAGACGTCTCAAAGCACTTCACAGGATACACTGTAAAGTGAATTGAACGTATATATTTGTGTGCAAAACTCGGCAGCCAATTGCGCACAGCAGCGTCCCCACAAACAGTCGTGGATTGAATGACTTCTTATTATGATTAATTATTGCATACAGACTGCGTCAAGTTAGAATGAAAAGTTACCATGACGTGTAATGCTATTTGTGGTTTCCTGTAGAGGTTAGAGCGCTCACCTTCGCAAGCGAGAGGACGCACGTACAATTACCGAGCTGGGCGAAACCTTACGCAAGATTCCTTACTCCACATGCCTCTGGAGAAACAAACCTAATGTTGCGCCATGTACGTGACTCAAACCTGGATCATCTTGCCTGCGAGGTGAGTGCTCTAACCAATATGATACCTGAGAGAATCCCAATTGACCTAAATTAGGATTGATATGTTTACTTATGGTTTGGATAGAAATTTTCTGTGGAAGGGAGTCCTGTAGCTCAGTGGTTAGAGGACTCGCTTTGCAAGCGAGACACCTGGGTTCAATTCCAGGCAGAGGGTGAAACCTTGGGCAAGTTTCCTTACTCCACACAGAGCCTAATAATAATCCCTCCAAAACCAAACAATAATAAATTGGTCATTTTCAATCCATGACTGTTTGTGGGACACTGCTGTGCGTAACACTCTCCGCCTCTCGCCTCAGGCTGCCAAGACCCTCATCCACGCTTTCATCATGTTCAGGCTTGACTACGCCAACACTTCTTCTTCTTATTATTAATATTATTATAACTCTTCCCTCCACAAGCTGCAGATTACTCAGAACCCATATCTTCTCCCACACAAACTCCGTGAGTTGATCGCCACATCCTCTCCGGCTTCATTGGCTCCCCGTTCCCCCAGAAAATCAAGTTCAAGATTCTCGTCCTCACTATTAAAGCCCTCCACGAATTTGCTCCTCCCTACCTCTGTGACCTGCTGATATCTTACCTACCTGTCCTCTCTGCTCCGCTCGGCAGGCCCTGGCCTGCTCCATTTCCCGCAGGCTGCCCACCCCACCATCTGCGGTCAAGCCTTTAGCCTCTCTGCCTCCACCCTCTGGAACTTTTTCTCCTCCCCTCACCCCCTCCCTTGGCTCCTTCATGAGAGGTAATGTTTCAGAGAGCTCACAATCCCAGAGTCCCTCCAACTCACTCCCTCACTCACTTTATTCAAGATCCACCTCAAGACTCACCTCTTCGACCACCGCTTTGGTCATCTTTCTCCTCTCCATGCCACCTCCTCGGCTCCCACCCCCAGCAAAGGTACTAAGCAGTTAACGTTAAGCGCCTTGGGACATCCTCTTGACGTGAAAATGTGAATTTGCATTGTATTGTGAAGTGACTAAAGATTTAGGGACTAATTGACATGGAAAAAGTGACTTGGTCAAGGAGGCATTTGGAACAAAAGCAGAAAATTGAGAACTCGGCACAAATGCAGAAGGATTCATCTCAGTTAAGAGCTCGATAATGACCGAGTAATGACAGATTGGTTAATATAATCTTTGCATTTGATAGGACGTGATAAGGCCCTACATCAAATGCAAGGATTATTTTACGTCTCAAGTCTCGAAGACGTGATGTCTCAAAGCACTTAATAGAATATACTGTAAAGTGAATTGACTGTATGTTTGTGGGCGAAACGCGACGGCCAATTGCGCACAGCAATGATTGGGTGATTGAAGTGATTGGGTCCTTTGCTTGCAAGGCGAGCCTGTAACTACCTTGTTACGCGGAAAAGGATAGGGTGTGACTACATTAGAATTTAGGACAGTAATTATTGTCTTCTGAGGCACAGACGCCATTCAGGCACTCCCTCCAACACTGCAATGCAGAGACACACGAGAGAGACTGTGAGCTCATAATCCTGAATTGAGGTGGGGGCTTCAACACACAGCCTTCTGACCCTGAGGCAAGAGCGTGTACGAATGTGCCAGTGTGAAGTAACTAACAATTAATAATCATTTGGCAGATCGCTCTTTTGGGGATAATAATCCTTTCAATTTTTTTAAAATATTAATAATTTGGTCACTCAATCCACGGCTGTTTGTGGGACGCTGCTGTGCGCAATTGGCCGCCACGTTTCGCCCACAAAATATACAGTCAATTCACTTTACAGTGTATCCTGTGAAGCTTTTTGAGACGTTTCGAAGACTTGATAAGCATCAAACGTAAGGATTATTATTGTTATTATAAGAATAACTGCACCAACTTGACTAACTGCATCGTAGCCAGGAATTTGATAATATCAGGTGGAGAAAGGTATCTTAACGACTTCTACTTGCAGTCATGCTTGGAAAATGCAACTTGTGGTTGAATGTTGGCCAATTAATTCCAATTAGAGATCAGAATCCACAACTTGTTCTGAAACTTCTGAGTTTCAAAGGAGCAGTTTCCGACCAGACCAGAGGCGCAGAGCGTAATCATCGACTGGAACAGGGTTGCCAGGAAGGGTGGTTGGCTGCCATGTTTTGTCCAGAAAATACAGTTAATTCACTTTATTACAATATATTCTGTGATATAGTCTATGATATAGTCTGTGATAAATTATAATTAGAACTCTTCACTTGAAATCTCCATGTGTAGGTGGGCTGCATGGAATTCTCAGCTTGGTTTGGATACTCTCAAACGCGGTCATGGTTTACCACATGTGTCAGACATCTGGCTGACCAACAAAAAAATCCCTATCCCTATTGTAACACCGAGTTCGAAATTCCACCCGTTCTCAGCCTGGGAGACTGTTTGGTCTGAAAACTGAAGACAGACCATGGGGAAACATGGTTCCATCTCAATTTGGAAGCCATGTTGAGAAATTTTTTGGCCAAGATCCTTAGATCTCAAGACAAAATGAGTCTCATGGGTTTCATTTTGGGAATCCAGTGCTGACCAGTCACTGGGGGCAGGGAATCCTTCACTCAGCTCCTGTTAACGCTGCAAGCCAAAGCCCTAACGGGGAGAGTGGTCTTAGCTTTTGACACCTCACATGTGTCAGACATCCGGCTGAACCCCCAAAAAATGTGGCGCAGAACACAGTAGTGTGTCCAATGCCAAGTCGATGCTTTTAATTTCAATCCTGCCTATTCACAAGGTGCTGCCAAGTCAAACAAAGGCATTACAGAAACCAACAGGTATGATCAAGCTTGATGTAGTTTATATGGATTTTCAAAAGGGGTTTGGTAAAGTGCCACATAAGAGAACTGTAAGCAGAATAGAAGCCCACGGCATTAAAAGGACAGTGTCAGCGGATACAGAACTGGCCGGGAGACAGAGAGCAGAGAGCGGTGATGAACGGCTGTTTTTCTGACTGGAGGGAAGTGTACAGTGGTGTCCCCCAGGGGTCGGTATTGGGGCCACTATTGTTTGTGATCTATATAAATGACCTGGA